TTTGCTGAGAGTGCAATCTACACCATCCTCCAGATCATTTATGAAGATATTGAACAAAACTGGCCCCAGGACCGACCCCTGGGGCACTCCACTTGACACCGGCTGCCAACTAGACATGGAGCCATTGATCACTACCCGTTGAGCCCGACAATCTAGCCAGCTTTCTACCCACCTTATAGTGCATTCATCCAGCCCATACTTCCTTAACTTGCTGACAAGAATACTGTGGGAGACCGTGTCAAAAGCTTTGCTAAAGTCAAGAAACAATACATCCACTGCTTTCCCTTCATCCACAGAACCAGTAATCTCATCATAAAAGGCGATTAGATTAGTCAGGCATGACCTTCCCTTGGTGAATCCATGCTGGCTGTTCCTGATCACTTTCCTCTCATGCAAGTGCTTCAGGATTGATTCTTTGAGGACCTGCTCCATGATTTTTCCAGGGATTGAGGTGAGGCTGACTGGCCTGTAGTTCCCAGGATCCTCCTTCTTCCCTTTTTTAAAGATTGGCACTACATTAGCCTTTTTCCAGTCATCCGGGACTTCCCCCGTTCGCCACGAGTTTTCAAAGATAATGGCCAATGGCTCTGCAATCACAGCCGCCAATTCCTTCAGCACTCTCGGATGCAACTCGTCCGGCCCCATGGACTTGTGCACGTCCAGCTTTTCTAAATAGTCCCTAACCACCTCTATCTCCACAGAGGGCTGGCCATCTCTTCCCCATTTTGTGATGCCCAGCGCAGCAGTCTGGGAGCTGACCTTGTTAGTGAAGACAGAGGCAAAAAAAGCATTGAGTACATTAGCTTTTTCCACATCCTCTGTCACTAGGTTGCCTCCCTCAATCAGTAAGGGGCCCACACTTTCCTTGGCTTTCTTCTTGTTGCCAACATACCTGAAGAAACCCTTCTTGTTACTCTTGACATCTCTTGCTAGCTGCAGCTCGAGGTGCGATTTGGCCCTCCTGATATCATTCCTACATGCCCAAGCAATATTTTTATACTCTTCCCTGGTCATATGTCCAACCTTCCACTTCTTGTAAGCTTCTTTTTTATGTTTAAGATCCGCTAGGATTTCACCATTAAGCCAAGCTGGTCGCCTGCCATATTTACTATTCTTTCGACTCATCAGGATGGTTTGTCCCTGTAACCTCAACAGGGATTCCTTGAAATACAGCCAGCTCTCCTGGACTCCTTTCCCCTTCATGTTAGTCCCCCAGGGGATCCTGGCCATCCGTTCCCTGAGGGAGTCGAAGTCTGATTTCCTGAAGTCCAGGGTCCGTATCCTGCTGCTTACCTTTCTTCCCTGCGTCAGGATCCTGAACTCAACCAACTCATGGTCACTGCCTCCCAGATTCCCATCCACTTTTGCTTCCCCCACTAATTCTACCCGGTTTGTGAGCAGCAGGTCAAGAAAAGCGCCCCCCATTTGGCTCCTCTTAGCACTTTGCGCCAGGAAATTGTCCCCTACGCTTTCCAAAAACTTCCTGGATTGTCTATGCACCGCTGTATTGCTCTCCCAGCAGATATCAGGAAAATTAAAGTCACCCATGAGAATCAGGACATGCGATCTAGTAGCTTCCGTGAGCTGCCGGAAGAAAGCCTCATCTACCTCATCCCCCTGGTCCGGTGGTCTATAGCAGACTCCCACCACTACATCACTCTTGTTGCACACACTTCTAAACTTAATCCAGAGACACTCAGGTTTTTCTACAGTTTCGTACCGGAGCTCTGAGCAGTCATACTGCTCCCTTACATACAGTGCTACTCCCCCACCTTTTCTGCCCTGCCTGTCCTTCCTGAACAGTTTATAACCATCCATGACAGTACTCCAGTCATGTGAGTTATCCCACCAAGTCTCTGTTATTCCAATCACGTCATAGTTCCTTGACATCACCAGGACCTCCAGTTCTCCCTGCTTGTTTCCAAGGCTTTGTGCATTCGTATATAAGCACTTGAGATAACCTGTTGATCGCCCCTCATTCCCAGTATGAGGCAGGAGCCCTCCCCTCACAGACATTCCTGCCTGTGCTTCCTCCCGGTATCCCGCTTTCCCCACTTACCTCAGGGCTTTGGTCTCCTTCCCCCGGTGAACCTAGTTTAAAGCCCTCCTCACTAGGTTAGCCAGCCTGCTGGCAAAGATGCTCTTCCCTCTCTTCGTAAGATGGAGCCCGTCTCTGCCCAGCACTCCTCCTTCATGGAACACCATCCCATGGTCAAAGAATCCAAAGCCTTCTCTCCGACACCACCTGCGTAGCCATTCGTTGACTTCGACGATTCGATGTCAGGGCTCAGGCTTCTGTTTCAGTCCTCGGTGGCAGGGCCCAACTTACAGGCCTCCCCCTGCCTGGAGCTGAAGCCCTTGGGCTTCGGCTTTGGCCCACCTGCCCGGGGTGGTGGGGCTTGGGCAGGCTCAGGCTTTGGTCCCTCATCCTGAGGTCTTGTAGTAATTTTTGTTGTCAGAAGGGGGGTCATAGTGCAATGAAGTTTGAGAACCACTGGTTCAGGTAATTCTGAGTCCTGCCATGAGTTCAGAGGACTGGACTAGATGACCTCACGAGGCCCCTCCTCCAGTAACTTGTCTAGTTCTTTTTTTGACTTAATTATACTTTTGGCCTTCACAACAGCCCTGGCAATGAGTTCCACAGGTTAATTGTGTGGTATAAAAAAGTACTTCCTCTTGTTTGTATTAAAACCTCTGCCTATTAATGTCATCTAATGTTCTTGTTAACTCCTGGAAATGTGCTGGAAATGGCCCACCTTGATTATCACTTCAAAAGGTTTTCTTTCTCCCCACCCCACTCTCCTGCTGGTAATAGCTCATCTTAAGTGATCACTCTCCTTACAATGTGTGTTTTTTCATGGTCTGTGTGTATATAAATATCCTCACTGTATTTTCCACTTTATGCATCCGATGAAGTGAGCTGTAGCTCACAAAAGCTTATGCTCAAATAAATTGGTTAGTCTCTAAGGTGCCACAAGTACTCCTTTTCTTTTTGCGAATACAGACTAACACGGCTGCTACTCTGAAACCTATCACTGTATATGTATACTTGGGATTTTTTCCAATGTGTTTTATTTTCCACTTATCAATGTCATAGTTCATCTGCCATTTTGTTGCCCAATCAGCCAGTTTTGTGAGACCTCTTTGTAACTCTTCGCAGTCAGCTTTGGACGTAACTATCTTGAGTAATTTTTTATCAGGTGCAAACTTTGCCACTACACTGTTAACTCACTTTTCTAGATCATTAATGAGTATGTTGAACAGCACAGACCCCAGTAAAGATCCTTGGACACTGCTGTTTACCTCTCTCCATTATAAAAACTGATCCTTTGTGCCTACCCTTTGTTTCTTATCTTTTAATCAGTTATTGATCCACGAGAGGACCTTCCCTCTTATCCCATGACTACTTAGTTTCCTTAAGAGCCTTTAGTGATGGGAATTGTCAAAGGCTTGTCTACACTATGTCAGCTACTAGATCACCCTTCTCCACATGCTTATTGACACCCTCAGAGAATTCTAGTGGATTAGTGAGGCCTGATTTCCCTTTACAAAAGCCATGTTGACTCTTCCCCAACATACTGCATTCATCTATGTGCCTGATAATTCTGTTCTTTACTATAGTTTCACCCAATTTGCCCAGTACTGAAGTTGGGCTTACCAGCCTGTAATTACCAGGATCTCCTAGAAGTATTTCCTACGGAGTGCTCAGTTATTGCATTTCTTACCCCTTTTGGTGCAGATCGTTCAGGGCCTGATCCAAAGGCCGTTGAAGTCAATGGGAGTCTTAGTCCTTTTACCGTGAAGGATACCACTAGATGAATGTTTATAATTATTACCAAGCAGATTTAACAGGGCTTATCAGTTGAATATCTGATAACATGGTTCGAACAAAGAAATCTCTGTGCTTGCAGATATTAATTAATCCCTGCCACACGCCTAGGACTGAGGTATGTTATCCTCCATAGAGAGGGGAAGACAGAGGTTAAGCAGCTTGGACTCAGCCACACAGCAAGGTGAATTAGAACCAAGGCGTTCATGCCTGCCAGGCCCCACTCACTCCACTAGAGCAAGGTTTTCTAACCCCTTTCTCACCCAGACCAAATTGCCAGTTGTCATTTCTTGCTGTGACCCACAATCCTTTGCAGCCACAAAGGATTGCAGGATCTGGGTTGTTACAAACTGATCCACTAACCCAGTGGATGGCCTGTTGTGAGTGGACCCAGTTGCTGGGTCCCACATGCTTCCAAGCCAACTGGATCTAGGCAACTGGTTCTAGCTCTGGGACTCGAGGCCACCTCTTGTCTGATGCCCTTCCTTGAGACATGGGATGTTATCACCCAAACCCTGAAACCAGTGCCTAAGACCTGATCCTTCATGCCCCCCACCTCGTCCATTGCTTCTGCAGCCTAAGCATGGCACTGTGCCACGTACCTATCACATTTGCACAAAGGGAATTAACATTAGTGCTCTGAGCCCCACTGAGGATAAATGCTCCTGTCTGGGATATTTCATTTTTGGCTCTCCTGCAACAATGCTTCCTAGGTATGTGCCTACCATGGTGACAGCAACACTAGAAGTTTGGAGAGGGAATTCTGTTTCCCCAAGCGTATAAAAGTGTACGCACCTTTGTGACGGGCTGGGCCCCCTGGGATGACACCTGGTGTGCTGGGACGCTGCTGAGGCAAACTATTCTGCCAGCCTGGGCCCCCTTTTATCTGGTCTTACTGTGCTCAGCTCCCCAGCCTTTCCAGCCAAGCACACAGGCAGGGCCATACCCAGCTGCACAGAGAGACCGAGATCCGCTCTGAGAAGGCTCAGCTTATGGGGCGTGCCACAGCACCCTGATGTCCACCCTCCGCCTTGGAGTACAAACCCAAAATTATATGAAATTCACCCCCTCCCTCAATGTGGAGAGAGGAGTGCATAGTTCTTGCCACCCTAGTTAGAAATTACAGAAACTGGGTTTAATAATAAACAAAACAAATGTTATTAGCTATAAAAGGCAGATTTTAAGTGGTAAAAGGGGTAACAAACAGAACAAAGCAGATGACTAAGCAAATGAAATCAAACATGTAAACTAAGCTAGTTTCACTAAAGAAATTGGTTACAAATAGTATTTCTCACCCTAGATATTGTTGCAGGCAGTTTGCAAAGGTCTGTGGTTCAGAGTTCCAGTTATATTTCTTTTCAAACTAGACCCCTGTCTCAGTCTGGACTCCCCCCTTGCCTTCAGTTTTTCTTCTTGGGCAGACAGGCCATGGAGAGGAGGAGTCCTATTGCCTTCCTCCCCACCCTTAAATAGGATTTACATAAGACGGGAATCCTTTGTTTCCCAAACTTTACCCCCCTTCCCTTACAGTGGAAAGTTACAAGATGTCCCAGGTAATGTTTAGTATCAGGTGACAAGACCACCTGACTCTGTAGTATCACAGAGTCCATGAGTCAGTGGCAATATGGAGAGTCCACAGGAAGGCCAAGCTTTTCACCGTCTATTGTCCTCGCTGATGGGCCATCTGCCCTGTCTGGCTTTTCCATTGTTGTACCTGAAATGTTAGTAGTGGGCATCACCCAAAGTAACACAGCTGAAATACAGATACATAGTCAATATTCCTAATTTCAGATACAGAAATGATACAGGTATACAAACACGATAATCGCATTCAGTAAATCACAACCTTTCCCATGACATCTCACATGAGCCATCTTGTATAAAGTATATCTCAGTTATGTCATATTCATATCATAAGCATATTTTCATAAAGAATATGGAATGACACATCACTACCTTATTGATGGAATTTACAGACAAGCCAGAGAGCTCTTTAACATCAGAAACCCAGTGCACAAGCTTTCTGGTTTTGGAATTTCATTAGAAACATTTTTTGCAAGGACAACTCTTCTTCCTTCAGTGCTTTACCTTGGCTGAAGAATGAAAGCCCAGAGCTCTTTCCAGTTCCCTAGCTGTACACTGAGGGAAGCTATTAATGAATCTGGTCATGTCTACACTATTGGGTGCTACAATGGACAGGGTTTTGCCATCACTGTAGGTAATCCACCTCCCCGACCGGCAGTAGTTATGTCAACAGAAGAATTCTTGCAAAGACTAGTCACATCTACACCTGGGGATAGGTTGGATTAACTACAGGGCTCAGGAATATGAATTTTTCATACTCCCGAGCAACACAGCTAGGCAGATCTACATTTGTAGACCACGGCCTAGTGTTAATTTTTGTAGTGATAGACTTTGTGCACTGGCAGTGAACTCCTACCAGTCTGTGGCCATGTCTATACATAGGGCTCATCACTGCTGTAGGAACTCCACATCCCAGAGCAACTGTGGCTAGGTTGATGGAAGCATTCTTCTGTTGACATAGCTATGTCTACAGCGGGGGCGAGGTTGGCACAGTTACAGCACTCAGAGGTGTGGATTTGTCACACACCTGAGCTCATAGCTATGTAGACCTAAATTTTAAGCCCAGGTCTAGAAGAGAGAATGTTGTCTAGCCAGAGGCTGCGAGACAATTCCTCTCGGTCACCAGTCACGTGTGTACTTGGGCAAACCAAGCTACTTTAGCTCCTTGTTTCTGTCAACCTGCCTAAAAGAACTGATCAAAAGAAAAAAAAGCTCTTCAGGAGTTATCATTTATTGTAATACAAATTAACATTTAAACCCCTGGAGCTCTTTATTGTGCAAAGTATTTACAAAATTCCGAGTGACCCCAAATATTTACAATAGTCAATAAATGGCAGTACCCATTTGTCAACTGTCCACACAGTGGATTAAAGCCAATGATTCTGAACCTCTTAGGATGGGCAAGACGGAAGGCAACAGCACCAACTGGGGACACTAATTGTTGCGTAGTGTACAGATACGTCTTTACAATTCAAATTACTTACTCCTCATCTGCATAGCTTGTGCAAGAAAGGGTAACATGAGAGCTTTCGAGCTAGAAGTCCACTGGACATGTTAGGATACGTCTACATGACGGAGCCTATGTTGGCATAGGTATGTCAGTACAGCTCCCTAGCATAGATGCAGCTTTTACATCAACAGATTTTCTGTTGATGAAGGACCACCACCGCCCTGAACAGCAGCAGCTACACAGACAGAAGCGCTCTTCCTTTAACGTAGCTGCATCAGCACTAGGGGGTTTGGCGACACAGCTGTTTGTCTGGGAATGGATTTTTCAGACCCGACCAACGTAGTTACACCGACATAACTTTTAAGTGTAAACCAAACCGTATGTTGGTCTCTGGGAGTTTGGTCTGAGCGCCTACAAATATATTCATGGTTTTAGGAACCTGATGGACCCAGATGCCACAAACCAGGGCTGCTTCTAAGGAGATTGTCAAATAGGGTAACGTTTGCCAAACACAGCCAGTATTTCTAGGGAAACTCTGTGGGAGACCTGGCATTTGGCAGCTCACTCAGCTCAATGTGAAGCAGATAATATCCCACAAATGGCTACTTCACACATTCAGGCCCTAGGGGGTCCTAAAGACTGTGGTATTTGTAATCATTAAAAAAAATTAAAACGCTAGAGAAAGGGTTAAAAGCTATCTAAAATAATCTGTTATTTGTCTGCTCATTAAAGCCACTGACAAAATATTGGCCGGTTCATTAAAAGAATTTAAATACCATTTTATAAGTGGCACGTTCTAGGTGTGCGGTTGTAAAGATAACACGTCATCAGTCGGCCCCGGGCAGCCTAGATGCACCGGGCAGTTGGAAGGTGGGGTGCCACTTTCAAAAGCACCTGAGTGGCTTAGATAAAAGTCAAATGCCTGTGCCACTCAGGCACTTTTGAAAACTTTACACATGAAGAACTTCCACAAACAGCTTGAAATTTCCCCTGTGGATTTCTGGAACCAATGGAAAGTGTCATGCCACATCATGTACCTCTATAAGTTCAACCTGCTATATGCTGCTGCTTATGTACCCTGTAACAATGTGAGGGAATACATCCTAGGGCTGGAATAGCTGAATTAAGACACCTTGATGGATGTGTTCCCCATGATGGACCACTATATGAACCACAGAAATGCTACGAGTTCTTGCAGACTGTTTCAAAGGTCCCTCCAAGATTATAATTGTTTACGTCTTACGCGTCCGGTGGGGTAGTTCTAATGAACTGTTCTATACACACTTCAGGATCCAGAGGAAACCACTTCTTGGTTCAGATTCCATGATACTAGATATCTCTTCCCTAAATTAAATACTGTGAACACCACGTTCCTAAGAATGAAGGGCATGAACAAGAAATCCACATGAGGTTCCTTCAATCAGTTTAAAAAGTTCGAAGCTGGACATTCCAATCCACATACTGGAGGAAAGATTATGGGACGACCTTGTCCCAAGAAATCAATTGCCCTGCTTGTTTGTTGCAAAACCTAGCACCCAGTTGCTTTATGATAAACAAGTGATTCATTCGGAGACAAAAAATGAGGAGTATGTTGTGAAAATCACTGGTGGATTACTTAAGGCTAGTAAGAAATTTGGGTTGCTCTTCCCCTCTTGGTAAAAGCGTTTCTCCACCAATCTTCGGGCCTTTCTTCTCCTAGAAATATTAACATACAAAGGAAGATTTAAATCCAAGCTAAGGCAGCTGCAATATATCATCATCAAAGGAGTCATGGGTGGGCTAAATTATCTGAATACGTATCTACATAAATCATAAAAATCATGACAATGTCTCAAGAGTTCCTACAGACAATCCTGCAAATGCAACCTCCCACCATGCCAGTTAAAATAAGGAACCTACACAACAAAAAGAAAAGAATAAACTAAGGATGCCAAAAAATACAGAAACGTACAATACTGAGGCGTTAAAGTGGAGGTTAGGCAGTCCCATACCACAATTTTACACATGCACACTACAATGCCTAACGAAAACTGAGTGAGTTAAAGGGAAACTGTCTAGTTAACATTCTCCCTGCTTTTACAACCCAAACACATCACCATGTTAATTCATGAAAAAATGAATTTGGAAAATGAAATTGACTAGAAACTGGCTGTGAAACACAGAAGTGAAACTGATCAGTCTGTTTTCACTATCAGAACTGTTCCCTTCTTACATTTCTCCCAAACAGCATGCATAGTGAAATGTTACCACAGAAAAAACTTAAGTATCTAAAACTCTAATGTGTTATATGTAAGCAAGGTAGCAATGTATTTTTTATTTACAACAGTATCATTTTTAAACTGTCAGTGACCCTTTCAGAACAGGACAGCAGTCTGAATTCCCTGGCTCTTGTTGGTTTAAGTCAGTGGTTTTCAACCTATGATCCGTGGACCCCTGGGGATCCGCAGACTATGTCTAAGGGATCCATAAAAGGTGACTACGAAAAAAGAATTTCAGATCCCAGAAAAGGCATTCCATTTTTCTGATCAATCAAAAGTATGTGAACAGCCCACCTACAGGTCAAAACCTGGAAGTGTTGTTGTTACCATAGAAGCCCACAGTTTAGTGCCCTTTCTGACACGTCAAATGCTGTGCTGAGCGCATGCAACATTTGTAGCTGAATTCTGTTCAGTCGGTTTTCGGTCCAAGACTTCTAAGGTAGGAGCCTGTAGACCACAGGTTGAATTTCCAAAGGGGCCTGTACCTGTGTTCGAAATGTTTTAGGGGTCCGCAAATGACAAAAGGTTGAAAACCACTGGTTTAAGATACATCTTGGAAAAACAAAGTCGTCATTGTAAGTTTGCATTAATGTCTACACGGAATGTAGAAACAGGCAGGAGCTCACAACCAAAGCAGCCTGGGTGTAATCAGGGGGCTTGCCCTTGGGCTGGCCTCTTTAAACACGATAAGGAAGCTGAACAGGGGTGAGGGGACTAGACGCATTGTAGGCTGCAATGGGTGGTAGTCGTGCTCTCTCTCAGGGTCCAGGAGACCAGCCTGACCAGGCTCAGAGACTGTTTTGTGGACTTGCAGTTTGGGAGCTCTGAGCCAGCATCCCGAGGTAGGCCGTATGATCTGCTGTTACAAGTGCTCCATCCATTTTGTTAGCTTGTGTTTGGCTTCCCCTTGCCCATGAATTTACTGACGCCAATTGGAGAAAGGAAGGCTGGGCACATCCGCAGCACTATGCCCGGACATAAGGGGGTGTATAGTGACAGCACAGGCCTTTTACTATTCAACATATGGACAATTCAGTCGCCACATCATTCCACCACAGATACTTCAGTAGGAGTGGAAGACTTTACATCTTACCGTAGCGTGTGGTGGTTTGGGCCCTGATTAACCATGGCTATTTTTTAAATAGAGAAGCTGTCCCCTTCTCAGACAGCTCATATTAGTGCCAAAACAAAGCTTGGGGAAACCCACTAACAGAAGCAGCCCAGTTCCCACTGTGCAACAGAAAGCTTTGGCCCAGGCTTACCTTGAGCATTCCATCACGTTCCCATTTGAAGAGGCCACAGGCACTGAAAGAGGAAGATGGAGCGTTAGGGCTTGTCTTCACATACAGCGGTGCAGCTGTGCCGCTGTTTAATGAAAATGCTACTACACCGACAGGAGAGAGTCTCCCGTCAGCATAGTTAATCCACCTCCACGAGAGGCGGTAGCTATGTCGGTGGGAGAAGCCTTCCTGTGGACACAGTGCTGTCTACACCAGGGGTTTGGGTGGGGGGATAACTGCATTGCTCAAAGTTGTAGATTTTTCACACCCCTGATCGATGTAGTTATACTGATATATGTTTGTAGTGTAGACTTGGCCTTAGATTTGGGGTTCGCTTGGTGCCCTGTACAGAGGATCTCTAGCGAACCCAAATCCCTTCCATAATGCTTATCAGCAGGGAGTGACAGTTTTGGGCATTAGCACATGCTAATGTTACTGGGATAAAGTGTCCTCAGATTTTTGGTTGGTGCAACTGAACCTGCCAACATGTTCCTGAGAGCCCCTCCTACCTGCAGGGCTTTTTTGGTAGCCTGTCAAAAGATAGGGCTCTGTTTCCACAGGGACACTTGAAGAATCGCTTGACACCATCATGCCAGTGGTATTCATGATTCTCCTTCACACATGTCTCTCGGAGCTTGAAATACGTGTATTTACACTGCAAGGAGAGAGAGAGAGAGAGAGAGAGAGAGAGAGAGAGCAGAGACACTATAAGTGAAAGAAGTGTTATTCTGCTGTCCAAGGAGAACTGAGTGTTCATTCGGGATTAGCAGAATGCCACCCCTCCCCCCCATTCTTGCATGCCCAGAGAATGGCCCACTTGATAAGATCACTGCCTCCAAACCCTTCCCATTCTGCCCCTCCCTCTTCTTCACTACCACCTTTTGTCATGTTTGGCCCAATTCCCAGCGAAGTGCAGAGTACAGATAGGAGGGAAAGTATGTCAGTGGTTCAAACTATTCAGGCAGGAAGAAACTTCCTTCTGTCCCATGGCATTTTAAATTATGGTAAAGCACCACCTCTGCCATTCCAAATGGAGCCACTGAAATGCAGATTAAAAAAATTTAGTCGTTTGGATGCCTTTTGCTATGTTCCAAGGCACCTGAGCTCATTCTTCACCCAGTCCTAGAATACTCCAGATTCCAGTACAAAGTTTCAGACTGACAAGAATTATGAGAGACTATCGAGTCTGATCTAAGTGAAACAACCTGGTAATCAGTTGCTGGGAAGCAGATCTTCCCCAGAGTGACTTAGGCGCTGGGAACCCACAAAGGGGCACTTAACTTTGCTTCCGGAAATCTCAAATGCAATACTAAAATCTGTGCTATTTCACCAAAGCTCTAACTCCTTCAATATCACTCACTGCTCCAGCTGGTATAATTAAGAACCTTCATAAGGATCAAGTGGTTTTCTTTCTAATCACCAATCCAGGCTTCAGCAGAGATAGCAGCTGAAGGCCTCACTCAAATCCAGTTCAAACCAGTCTGCATGCTCCACACACCTGCCTGCTCCAGTGTCACTCACCGTTTTACACGTCACAATCCGACACTTCACTTCTTTAATGTTCTTCATCGTCTCTTCCAGTTGTTCTTTTTTCACCAGAGGTTCAAAGTACCGTTCCTGCAGCTCAGCCTCAGCCTGCCAGAGCACAAGAGAGGCACTGTCGTCTGATATGCAAACAGCACACCTAGAAACAGTGCAAGCAGCTCCGCATCTAGTAGGTTGGCCAGGACTGCTACATACCACCCCGGAGAGACTGAAACCTCTGAACGACAGATGAATGTTCAGAAGCTCCGAATAATCCATTTCGTGTGCGTTCCTTGTTTGAAAGAGTACAGTATGTAACGCACACGCTGCACTTCACCCACTGCTGAAATGTAGCGCTCGCCCAGGCAGATCTCAGATGCTGATTAACAGCTAACACACGACTTAGTTACACTCACTTCTGTACTGAAGTGTAAAGTGCAGGGAGGCATGCAGGATGACCTGAACTGGGATTTGCCCAGACTCCCATAGTCAGCTTTCAGACTCTTACGAAAAGTGCCGTGAGATCTTTACTGATTAGTATCTTAGGTTTACGCATCTCATCTCCAGTCGCACAGTGCCCCTCACACCATCCTGGGGAGTTGTTACAGTACTGTTACCTAGGGAGGTGGTAGAATCTCCATCCTTAGAGGTTTTTAAGGCCCGGCTGGGATGATTTAGTTGGTGTTGGTCCTGCTTTGAGCAGGGGGTTGGACTAAACAACCTCCTGAGTTCTTTTCCAACCCTACTCTTCTATGATTCTATGATACTGACTCCAGGGGAAGAGCGCCATCTACTGGATCGCCTGTACCACTGCCCACATTTTAGTCAAAAGCTTGGGCTCTGCAACCCCTCTGCCCACATGGTTACAACACAGAAGTGGAATGAAATAGGCATGTGTCCATTTTCTGGAGAGCAAAGTGACTCCACAGATATGAATATTTGAAATAGTGGCCTGCTATAAAACAACTGCTTAGATTATAAGCTCTTTGGGACAAGGACTGTCCTGTTCTGTTTGAACAACATCTAGCACAATGGGGTCCTGGCCCATGACTGGGACTCCTGGCGCTGATAACTGGCACTCTCAGTTGTGCACAGGGGAGAACTAGATTCCAGAGAAATCTCAATCCCCTTATGGTTTCTAGAAAGGGAGAGCATGGAGGCCACATGGATGGAGCGTGTGTGGGGAGCGAGCCAGCCTGGAGGAAGAGGAGGAGGGCCACAAGCTGATGTTGTTAGGACAGAGTGCATGTCAGGCAGGAGGGGACAGACAGGGTGCTAGACGGCAGCTAACTGCAGAAGAGGGAAACAGTGACCGAGACCAAGTCTGTGGCTCTGACTTCAGATCAAATTTGATCAGTTTAGCAGTAAAATGACAGGGAGTGGGTCAAATCCTCCTCTCTGGGTAAATCTACACTGCTGCTAGAGGTGTGATTTCCAGCTCAGGCAGACACGCCTGCACTAGCTTTGATCAAGCCAGCACTATCTATATCTATATCAATAAACCTAGCACTGCAGCCATCACAGCATAGGCCAGCTGATCAAGTACATACCTAGGGTCTCAGACAGGACTGTATGTGGGGCTGCTATTTTTAGCATGCTAACTCGATCAAAGCTAGCGAGGGAATGTCTACCTGAGCTGGAAGTTACAGCTCCAGCTGCAGTGGAGACACACCCACAGTAAAAGCAGTGTAGACCCAAAGTTCAGCGGAGATATGCCAGATTTACACCCGTAGCAGAGCAGAATTTGGAACTATGCAAAGTCAACCTGGGCTCTCAAAAGCCTTGTCAGCCACACCAGAGAATCACATAATAGCAACCAGCACTGCTGGGACTGAACCAGTGCAAACTGCAATACTGCACGGTGGTCATACTAGCCATTCTGTGTCACGCACACTGCCACTTATAACGCTCCCTGCCGGAGCTTTAGGGCACAGGGGCATTGTACCTGTCCCACGACACCTAGGCCAGCACCCTGGAAGAGATTCATGATGGTTTGTTCCAGTGGGTGCCTCAATTGCTCTGTCTTTCATAATAATGCGCTGGTTTTAGTCACTCCTCATAGCAAAGCTGCATTTCAGGGTGTGTCTAAGTGTGTATGCTACAGGGGGGCACTGTACATTCAGCATCTCAGAAACACCTGCAGGATTGTGCTTGGGCCAACAAAGGGAAATGAGAATTCTTATTCAAAAAGCTTTTATTAGGTGCCACAGCAGTTACTAGCCTTTAACAGTAAATTAAAAAATCAGGACTTGTAGGTTCACCTTGAGACTAAACGGGTCTCTGACATCTGTTCTAATTTTACAAAATAAATAGAAAGTAAAGCATTCTGAGCTCCTCCCGTGAAAAGTGCTATAAATACACTAAGAATTATAACCAATGTGAGCATCTCCCTTATTACGCACACCCACACACCGTTGCAACTGTGTCTTAAAAGGGACACTGTCAAGTTAAAAATCTAAAGTCTTGGTGTTATCACCCCATCTAACATTAAACCTGACAGTATAATTTAGATATTTAATAGCTGTGTTTTCACTGGCTCTTTGCACCTCATGCACCTTGAACAATGATGCTAGACTAGTCAGTTTCACCTCCTAGTTTTCATATATTATACTCCTGGGGGAATTCTGCACCAAAATATTAAAAATTCTGCACACAATATTTTAAAATTCTGCATATTTTGTCAAAATAACACAATATCATCACATCAGTTTCAATTACTTTGGTAATTTATTTCAAAATACCTGTCAGCAACTATGTCAGACACAAAAAATCATTCTCCCAGGAGTAGAGAGTTAAAGAAACTCCTAGGGCAACCTAGTTCCTGTTTCTCAGCTCCCTTCCCTCCATAGCCCAGCCGCGGGCAACCCCCCAGCCCAGACACCTGCACACCCTCCTCCCAGAAACCAGCAGTGACACCCCCCTCCCCCCAAGCCCAGACACTCACACCCCCTCCTCCCAGAACTCAGCTGCACCCCCCCACCAGCCCAGACACCCTCATCCCCTACCCCCCAGAGCCCAGTCACAGGGCACATCCCCAGCCCAGACACTCACATCCCTTTGCCCCCAGAACCCAGCCGTGCCCCCCCACCCCAGACACCTGCTCTTCCCCAGAACCCAGCCGCAGTTCGCCCCCAGCTTCCCCGCTCCACCCTCCAAGAACCCAGTCACATCCCAGACACCTGCACTCTACCCTTCCCCAGAGCCCAGACACAGGGCACCCCCCAGCCCAGAAACTCGCACCCCCTACTCCCCAGAGCTCAGCCACGGGGCACCCTCCAGCCCAGACACCTGCACCTCTTCTCCCCCACAGCCCAGCCACAAGGCCCACCCCCAGCCCAGACACCCTCACCCACTACTCTCCAGAGCCCAGCCCCAGCCCTCCAGGCCAGACACTTGCACTGCCCCCAAGAGCCCAGGGATCCAGAGAGAGAAACAACCTGATGCTGGGTTGTTTCCTACACGTAGCTAGCCTCCTTCCTTCAGCCAGGAACTGTAGCTGCCGGGATCCCTCCAGCTCCCTCCCCCTGGCATTGTCTTCTATATGTGAGCTGGGCTCTGCCAGGTCAAGCGGCTCCCTAGTGGCAGCCATCAGCTCTGCAGCCCGTTTCTGTAAGGGGTGGGGGGGGACGACAAAATTCTGTGCAGAACATTAATTTCTGCACACATTCTGCATTGTGCAGTGGCGCAGAATTCCCCCAGAAGTAATATTAGTACAATGCTGCAGTGTCTACAAGGGAATGTGGAAATTCCAACAAACAAATTTCACTGGAATTTTTTTAAATTGTGGAAACATTTCTAGTGAATGCATATTTTGTAAAAGCTCATGTACACAACACCTAGGTTTGGATGTTAGAGTGTCTAATTATTTGTAATGATCCTGAACTTTCACTCTCAGTGCAAGTATATGTACAAAGCAATTACCTCCTTAAGGACGCCCATGTGCTTGGACTTGGCATTCAGGATTTTCTGGAACTCTTCAGACTCCAGATATGCCAGCTGTTCTCGACGTTTCTTTTGGGCAGGTTCTAGTTCATCTGCAGCTAGAGAAACAAGATAGGGTTGCTGTTTATGCCGCTGGGTAAGTTTAAAATCATGCTCTGCTTTCTAAGCATAACCATCATTTTGTACTTTACAAACAACAAGCACTCGAAGCGATGTCTCAAGTCGTATGAAATAATATTTTGTAAAGGAGAAGTGAGTGAGAATAGGGTGTGTAATTAGTGCAGTAGCTACAGGCCTTAGGACAAATTCCAATCCAGTCATCACAAGAGAAAATAAAATGCTACTAACAATGTTAGCTTCCTCTTCTGCAGATCTCAAAGTACTTTACAAACAATTAAGCTTCCCAACACTTATGAGATTGGTATTATTCCCGTCATGCAGAGGGGAAAACTCAACCAGAGGTTAAGTGACTTACCAGAATACACATGGCAAGTCAGTAGCAGAGCTGGAAGGAGAAGCTATGAGTCACTCTCGCGCTGTAGCCACTAAATCACTTTCCTTGATGAGATTTAGCCAAGTATGTAATTTGTGTACAATTACAAATACTATAATACCTTGAGCCAAGGGAGGAAAACAGGCTTAGAATAGCAGGTATCGTACACACCGAGTGAGGTTCCTTGCCAGAGCAGGATCAAAGCCCAGTGGATCCTGTAGCAAGCTGGACCTACATTCTGCAGCATTATCCCCGGATTCTGGAGACTAGAAATTCTGCAGCAGCCTCATTAAAATGAAGAAGCTTGGAACCAATTAACTATGAAGGTCAATGAGGATAGCAGAGCCCGTGCTACCTATTGGGATAGTCAGTTAGTTTATGGTAAGCCCAGGTTTGCAATATGCTGCACTACTGACAACCAGCAGCATTGGGTAAGTTGTTTGGGGAGAGCTGGGGGCAAGCTGAAGATTTCGGCAGCCTTACACACACACACACGCGATACTGCAGAAGCCAGGGGAAGTGCTGTAGGGTAAGTAAAGCAGCAGGAAATGTTTCTGCTAAAATGATCAACAGCAAAGTAGTCAGCAATAGTGACATTTATAGGTGAGATTTTCAACAATGCCTAACTGACTTAGGAGCACAAGTCCCATTGCCTTTCAAAGAGATTTGTGCATACCACATTCATAAAAGTGTTAACTCTGAAAATTAAGGATGACATTTCAGGATAAGATTAGGAGATTTAGGAAAAGAAGCCTCTCAGGGTCCGTGGGACTCCTGCTCCTACATCAGTTGGGCACAATTGGAATTCCCACCCTAAAATTGTCATCTCTTAGTTTCAGAGTTAACAATCCATTGTGACAAATGGAGCAGTGTGCACTTCAGGGAAACGGGGAGAATATTTATCTCACAGGATGACTGTGAGGCATTATACAATGCTTTGCTCTGCTTGAACATCTTCCAGCCAACAGTTGCAACATGCTTGATATGTTCATGAATAAACACGTTGATGTTTCTACCATGCTTTCAGCTCTTGCATCATATATGATCCAGGAGGACTTAGTAACAATACACATTTTAAAAAAAAATCACGATTAGAGATCATGACTAGGTTAAAGATTTAAAGCCAGAATTACAGATTTTGTGTTTCTATTCCTTCCAACAGCAGAAAATCCAATAGCACTCATCCTATTTTTCAATTTTAAAAAAAATCTGGGCATGATCTCTGACAGAGCTTTCAGGGTCTGTCTGTCTCCATAGCAGCAGGATACCCCACCTTTGTCACCAGATCCATCATGGAATTAGGCCTTTTAAAATCAGGTTGAAAACCTGTTTTAGTTCCAAATCTCTTTGACACAGCCTGTGATTTTAGTTACAAAAGTACTTTTGTAATTCATCAGCAGCTGCTGAGCTGAACATGGTTGGTCGTAAGGCACCTGGTGATACGTGGAGGGTACTGTATTGTACAACGCACTCACTTTTTAAAGTCAGGTCTGTGCTTTCATACCTTGTGATGAGGGGATGTTTTTCTCAACTCTCTCCATGATCTCCAGAACTTCGGCAAGATCAGATCGTTTCCGTTTAACACTGTTTGGGTTGGTTTTATTGAGGATTTGGCCTTTTGCTCGCAGTTTCTTTATAGCAGCCAACTAGAAGATGGGAACTAAATGTTAATGTTGAACACAAGTATCCAAGGTCACACATTCCTAATTCCAAGGCAGATGGGAAAATGTCAACTGGAAGAAGCAATAAGGTGTTCTAGACTTAGCATGGGCATCCCAACCAAATTCTAATCCCAACTCTGCATTTCCTAGTAGTGTAGCCTTTGCCAAATCACCCAACCGCTGACTCAGTTTCCCAATCTGTAAAACGAGGCTGATAATTCTCACTGGTGTGTTACGGGGCTACGTGTCTGAGATCCAGACGACGGTGCTGGACAAGATAGAGAGGAGCTAGAACAAAGAAAATTGCATTTTCAAGGCAGAAAGGAAACATCACTGGAGATTTCTATATAAATCACTCTAATAACTGGGCACTAAAAGAAACTTGCAGATAATCCTCCAGATCTATCCAAAAATGTTAGATTCCTCTCTTCTATCTCACTAGCGAGGAGTTGATTTTCTCTTACAGACAAGAAATTAAACCCCTGCAAAGGAAAGACGTACCTATTCTCTGCTGGCTGGGAACCAGACTACTAAAGCTCATGGCAGTGAGGATGGAAAAATACAGATTACAATGAATCTGCTGTGCTGCTGAATGAACAAGGTACATCCTAGCACTCCAAAGATTTCACTTGGATGTTAACTGACTGAGGCAAAGGACCCAGCCACGAAGGGGTTACATTTAATAAAATGATCAAGAGCTAAGTTCCCTCTAAGCTGCACAGCCACGCAGCTGCCTATTAAACCCTGAGCTGGGGCTCAGGGCAGCGCCAGGGAGAGATGCCTCTCCCCCAGGGCGGACCTGCCGCAGCCAGGGGAGAGGCACCCCTCCCCAGCGCAGACCTGCAGTGGCCGGGGGAGAGGCACCCTTCCCTCGGCAACAATATGGACCTGCCCCAGATCTGCTGTGGCCAGGGGAGAGGAGCCCCTCCCTTGGCCCAGCCCAACCCCGCCAGAGCTGCCGCAGCTGGGGAGAGGCGCCTCTCCCCCGGCCCCGAGCTGCTGCGGCGAGAGAGGGCTGGGGACAGTTCTCTCTCCCCACCGCAGGCCTACAGCCCAAACCCCTCATCCCTGGCCCCACCCCAGAGCCCACACCCCCTGCACCCCAACCCTCTCCCCCAGCCCTGAGCCCCCTCCTGCACCCTGAAGCCCTCATCCCCAGCCTCACCCCAGAGCCTGCACCCCCAGTCAGAGCCCTCATACTCCCAAACCCCAACCCTCTGCCCCAGCCCTGAGCCCCCTCCCACACCCCAAACCCCTCTTCCCCAACCCCACCCCAGAGCCCTCACTTCCTTCCCGCATCCCAACCCTCTGCCCCCTCCCACACTCCGAACCCCTCAGCCCCACCCCCACCACATTAATTTTGTTACATGCACCAATATGAAGGTGATGTGTCACACATCACCTCCATATTGGTGCACATAACAAAATTCATTCTGTACATGGACGTAAAAAATTAGAGGGAACACTGATATTTTTATAACATCTCTGAGGAGCTTAAAACTCAAAACATCTCTCAAAATGGAAAACAAAACAGGCTTTAGCAAACAGAGTGCGGATAACACTCTTGCTTTCTGTGCAGCTACTGCAGATCTCCCAGGTTTGTCTCAGAAACCAGGGCAAACAAGAATTTATGTTTGCACAGTGCATAATATGAGCTTTCAGGGAAAGCCTTTGGCCTCTGGGAGTGAATGTGCTTATGCACCCCATCCTGGTACATGTACTGAGCTTGTTTTCTGGTGCTGACATTTTAAATCCCTGCTGTGTACTGTCCTAGAAACACACAAATACGTCTCCTTCAAAGCAATCTCCAAAGAATGGCCACTTGCTGAAGGGGGAGTCAATCCCACCTTCAGATCAAAGGAAACTAAAGTGCAGCAGGTTTGTGACTCAACTTCTTTTTTAAAGTCAATTTCACAGTGTGAAGTGCCAGACTGACGGTCAGACACAGTGAAGTGCTAGGGGGTGCAAGCTCCCCTACGCAAGGCAGTGGGCCTCAATCTTGACCTGGAGCGGACCACCCCCAGGAGTAGGAAGTACCCAATCCATGTCCTTGGCTAAGACTGACAGCAAGGGTGCCAGTTAGAACGATGGCTTCTGTGATGCTGACACTTGTGCCTTAGGATTTAGACTGACAGCAAATCATTTCTCATAGGCCAGTCAGTAATAACTCACTCATGACTGACTCAGGCAGGATTTCAACCAGCAAGAGGTGAGACTCCAAATCCCAGTGCCAGAAGTTTGCATAGCACAGATTTTCTTTAGCAGATATCCTACCACTTTGAATACTTACTGAAAGACAAACTAGTAGCATGGTGTCTTGGACACAAACAGCTAATCGGAATTAGAAGCTTACAATGGGGTACAACAGAGCTTAACACGTTGATCTCGGAAGTAAAGGCTGCATGTTGCAACATGACCCATGTCAGGAGCTCAAAGTCCAACTGTTCAAAGGGATTGTTACCTTTTTAGCTTCTGCTAAACCATTCAGTTTTGGTACTGGAGGTGGAGAATCATCAAAGAAGAGGACGTCATCGCCCTCAGAGAGGCCTATCCCCAGCCTAGGTGCTTGAGGGGTTGACATTTTTGCAGCTTTGGGAAATTCAGCCCCTGGGGTTGGAGAGCGGAGCCCTGAGGAGGATGGTAAAGCTGGGCTATTGGTTTTTGTTGTCTTCTGAAGAAACCTAAAAGAGGACAAAAACACTGAAGTATAGTCATGATTCATCTTGGCAAATCGAAAAGCTCGAAAATAGTACAATTGACTTTAGAAGCCATATTGTAAGCCATTGTTCAATGGGAGAGGCCTTGCCTGTATTGCTATTAAAGCATTCTGCATGTCACCCAGTTGGATAGTGCAGTTAGGCCGGTCAGTTTCCTTTTAATCAGAGCTCAAACCACTCTTCAAACATTAAGGCTCACCGCAACCCTGTGAGGTAGGTAAGTCAGTCACAGAGTAGGCAGGTCCCAGGAATCATGGTTCCCAGCCTCCTGCTCTAACACTCTCCCTACATTATCCTTTCTGGTTCTCAGGCACAATGATGCAGCATTTGACTGTTCACTGAAATAAGCCTCATGATATTGCTAGTTAGATAGGTTTCATAAAACTTTAAACCCTCCCACCTAACAGGACAGTCTGCCTGTAAAACATCAGATGATGGAGAGTGTTTTACCGCCTCTGTATATCTTCTGATCGCTTTTTTCTGGCCTCCAGCATTTGCTGTTTCTGTTGTTTGAGCAGTGCTGAAGCGGAGATAGACTGGAAGGCAGATCCTTGCTTCCCTCGAGCATCTGAAATAAATATACAGACAGTGAGACTTGCAAGGAATGAGCCAAGGCTCAGCAAAGGGGAGTGTCACGGGAGTACCTGGACATACCTGCTGCATCTGCTTTGGCCAAGTGTTTGCAGAGGTTTCGTGCTCCAAAGGTTGGCATTGCCAACAATTCTTTGAATTCATCAGTACATGGCATGGGTCTCTTCACCATACCTGGAGCAGTGTACAAAAAACCCAACAGACTCAGAACCAGGAAGGGAAATGTAGGTCTGGCTTCAGCACTCACACTTAATGCATCAAACATTTCTAACATGAGAATGGCTATGAAACATAATATTCAGTGCTCACATAGTACTCTCATCTTAACAGAGGTCACAAACTAGCTTCACAACATCCCACCTCTTTATTTTGGTACTTAGATGGCCCCATTACTCTAGTATCTGAGCACTTCACTATCTTTAATGTATTTATCCTCACAACACCCCTGGGAGGCAGGGACATGTTTTACAAAGGGGGAATTGAAGCAGAGAGATACTAAGTGACTTGTACAGCATCACACAGAAATATACCAATTGAACCAAATCTCCCAAGTCCCACACTAGTGCCTAACCACTAGACCAGCCTTCCTCTCTCCCCTGGGAGGCCCAACAAGGGCTATCCTATTTACAGAAAGGGAAATGGAGGCAGAGAGGTTAAGTGACTTGCTCAATGCCATGGAAGGAATGTGTCAGAGCCAGGATTAGCACTCTTGAGATCCCCATCTCCCAGGACTGTGCTGGGACCACCCCAGCATGCCTCTCTCTTCGGGGCATACTCAATGTCCCCAGAAATCGTGAAAACCCTGTTTCCAATGGTTCAAGTCATTTGTTTTCAGCCCAGTGATTCACAATTGGAGATCTTAGAATTACCAGTGCTCCCTCAGTCTAGCAGTAACTTTTTCATGCTGGCCAAGGACTGGATGGAGCAAGTTCCACACTTTGGCCAGTAATTTTCTATCCCAGAGGTATGTGCGTGCAGGAGGTTGTAAATAAAAGAGAGGTACAAAACATACTCTGAAGAGAGCTGGACATTCTCTGTGCAGCTGTGATACCAGAGGGAGGTAGTTTACATCATTTGGGGAAGTGAATTCAAACTGGCCATCTTTGTAACTACAGAATTTCCCAGAGGCTCTAAACTAGCTCACACATCATGGGCTCCACAGACATGTCACACAGCAAGCGGAAAGCATGTGACGGGAAGAAAGAAAGTTACCTATTTTCTCTCTAGTTTCCTGTACAATTGCGTCGGTTCCTTTTACGACCAGATTCGTGAGAGTGGTTTGTATCTTCTTCTTAGGGGCTGCAGCTGCTGCACTACAGAGACAAAACCCCACAAAAAGTGAGTGCTGCTCCAAGACACGTAGCAGTAAAGGGTGAGGAGCAGTACTGGAGTTTGAGTATCAGCTCAGCAACTCCCCAAATGCTCCAATTACCCATCATTCACTCTGAGCAGGTGCTTCCTTCACAAGTAGGGACATTGTGCTGTAATCTTTTGTATCTCAAAGACTTGGGCTTCCCATTTCTGCCAAGATTTAGATACACATTTCTGAGTATTAAGGAGACACAGAGACTTTGACGAAATCTGGCTAATTTTAGCTCAAGAAAAAGATAGGAGAGATTGCTACATGCAGCCACACATGTCATTTAATGAGGTAATCAGGTAGCATTGTTAGGAGAATCCTAAAAGTGATTTGCAAGTATTGGGCATGATCCAGCTTCCACTCAAGTCAATGGGAGTCTTTCCACTGCTGACTTCACTGGGATTTGGAAAGGGTCCAATTAAGTCTCAGAACCCATGTGAAGTAGAGACCGGATACATACAGCTCACTTCACCCATCACTCCCAGGTGGGAGGCAGTAGGTATTTAATAACACACAGCAACATCATATCATTTAAGTTAGGAAGTGAAAAAACACAAGATCCAGGGATATGTCATCAGAATGTAATTACCCACGATAGCATTTGGCCAGGACACAGTGGTTAAAAGTGCCCAGGGATCTTTAATGACCCTAAGTGCTCAGGACTTAAATTTACCCCTCCTTTGAAAGAGGGCAGCACAGCATCCCCAGCCTCACAATGCGGTATTGTTGTGGTACAGATTCTGAGGTAAGAACATCACATACCAACTCACCAACACCACCTCAAGGATAGGAAGGTGTTTTCCATCCAAGCACTGACTGCTTACCTTGGATGGCCAGGCAGGCTCCCTGCCAAATGCAGTGTGGCTCAGAGCAGTTTATTCCTGTTTGGTTAATTTAGTGAACCCAAAGGAATGCTGGTCTCTTTAAAGGTAACTTCAGGCACACTTATAAGTAGTCAGGAAGTGAATTCTGCCAAAGAGCCAAGGGCTGCAAGGAAATTAAGCAGTTTCTCTTACACTGAGGCTGCGTAGGCTGCTGAAGAAACACCTCCATAGTAAAACCCATCCTGACAGAGCCGCTCCTTCAAGCTGGGATTTTTGCAAGCTATCCTTTTTGGAGCACGGCCACTGGAGAAGCTAGACTGCAAATCTGCCCGCTTCGAGCTGAGCCTCTTGTACTGGGATTGTACGTGGTACTGGCAATATTCACAGTCATTCTGAAGGAAAGAAATAAGGGAGCTCTGTAATTGAAGACTAACTGGAGATTGATAGATAACATTTCCCCTGAGAAAAACAACAATATCTTTTTGTAACTAAGCTGTGCTCATACAAACATGATGAGTCACCAGCAAGTATTGAGCTTGACCAACACACACACAGGCCTCTACCACTGTGGGTTGAAGGCTGTTATAATGCAGGGACCAGTCACTAGAGGGAGACAGGTTTCAGAGGAACAGCTCTGTTAGTCTGTATTCGCAAAAAGAAAAGGAGAACTTGTGGCACCTTAGAGACTAACCAATTTATTTGAGCATGAGCTTTCGTGAGCCACAGCTCACTTCATCAGATGTGTACCGTGGAAACTGCAGCAGACTTTATATACACACAGAGAATATGAAACAATACCTCCTCCCACCCCACTGTCCTGCTGGTAATAGCTTATCTAAAGTGATCAACAGGTGGGCCATTTCCAGCACAAATCCAGGTTTTCTCACCCTCCACCCCCCACACAAATTCACTCTCCTGCTGGTGCTAGCCCATCCAAAGTGACAACTCTTTACATAATCAAGTCGGGCTATTTCCTGCATAGATCCAGGTTTTCTCACTTCCCCCCACCCCCATACACACACAAACTCACTCTCCTCTGGTAATAGCTCATCTAAACTGACCACTCTCCAAGTTTAAATCCAAGTTAAACCAGAATATCTGGGGGGAGGGGGGTAGGAAAACCAAGAGGAAACAGGCTACCTTGCATAATGACTTAGCCACTCCCAGTCTCTATTTAAGCCTAAATTAATAGTATCCAATTTGCAAATGAATTCCAATTCAGCAGTTTCTCCTGGAGTCTGGATTTGAAGTTTTTTTGTTTTAAGATAGCGACCTTCATGTCTGTGATTGCGTGACCAGAGAGATTGAAGTGTTCTCCGACTGGTTTATGAATGTTAGAATTCTTGACATCTGATTTGTGTCCATTTATTCTTTTACGTAGAGACTGTCCAGTTTGACCAATGTACATGGCAGAGGGGCATTCTGCACATGATGGCATATATCACATTGTGGATGTGCAGGTGAAAGCCTCTGATAGTGTGGCTGATGTTATTAGGCCCTGTGATGGTGTCCCCTGAATAGATATGTGGGCACAATTGGCAAGGCTTTGTTGCAAGGATAAGTTCCTGGGTTAGTGGTTCTGTTGTGTGGTATGTGGTTGTTGGTGAGTATTTGCTTCAGGTTGCGGGGCTGTCTGTAGGCAAGGACTGGCCTGTCTCCCAAGACTTGTGAGAGTGTTGGGTCATCCTTTAGGATAGGTTGTAGATCCTTAATAATGCGTTGGAGGGGTTTTAGTTGGGGGCTGAAGGTGACCGCTAGTGGCGTTCTGTTATTTTCTTTGTTAGGCCTGTCCTGTAGTAGGTAACTTCTGGGAACTCTTCTGGCTCTATCAATCTGTTTTTTTACTTCTGCAGGTGGGTATTGTAGTTGTAAGAAAGCTTGACAGAGATCTTGTAGGTGTTTGTCTCTGTCTGAGGGGTTGGAGCAAATGCGGTTGTATCGCAGAGCTTGGCTGTAGACGATGTATCGTGGTGGTGTGGTCAGGGTGAAAGCTGGAGGAATGCAGGTAGTAAAAAAACAGATTGATAGAGCCAGAAGAGTTCCCAGAAGTTACCTACTACAGGACAGGCCTAACAAAGAAAATAACAGAACGCCACTAGCCGTCACCTTCAGCCCCCAACTAAAACCCCTCCAACGCATTATTAAGGATCTACAACCTATCCTAAAGGATGACCCAACACTCTCACAAGTCTTGGGAGACAGGCCAGTCCTTGCCTACAGACAGCCCCGCAACCTGAAGCAAATACTCACCAACAACCACATACCACACAACAGAACCACTAACCCAGGAACTTATCCTTGCAACAAAGCCCGTTGCCAATTGTGCCCACATATCTATTCAGGGGACACCATCACAGGGCCTAATAACATCAGCCACACTATCAGAGGCTCGTTCACCTGCACATCCACCAATGTGATATATCCATCATGTCCACAATGCCCCTCTGCCATGTACATTGGTCAAACTGGACAGTCTCTACGTAAAAGAATAAATGGACACAAATCAGATGTCAAGAATTATAACATTCATAAACCAGTCGGGGAACACTTCAATCTCTCTGGTCACGCAATCACAGACATGAAGGCGCTATCTTAAAACAAAAACTTCAAATCCAGACTCCAGCGAGAAACTGCTGAATTGGAATTCATTTGCAAATTGGATACTATTAATTTAGGCTTAAATAGAGACTGGGAGTGGCTAAGTCATTATGCAAGGTAGCCTGTTTCCTCTTGGTTTTTCCTACCCCCCTCCCCCCAGATATTCTGGTTTAACTTGGATTTAAACTTGGAGAGTGGTCAGTTTAGATGAGCTATTACCAGCAGGAGAGTGAGTTTGTGTGTGTATGGGGGTGGGGGAAGTGAGAAAACCTGGATCTATGCAGGAAATAGCCCGACTTGATTATGTAAAGAGTTGTCACTTTGGATGGGCTAGCACCAGCAGGAGAGTGAATTTGTGTGGGGGGGTGGAGGGTGAGAAAACCTGGATTTGTGCTGGAAATGGCCCACCTGTTGATCACTTTAGATAAGCTATTACCAGCAGGACAGTGGGGTGGGAGGAGGTATTGTTTCATATTCTCTGTGTGTATATAAAGTCTGCTGCAGTTTCCACTCACATCTGATGAGTGAGCTGTGGCTCACGAAGCTCGCTCAAATAAATTGGTTAGTCTCTAAGGTGCCACAAGTTCTCCTTTTCTTTTAGAGGGAGACAAGATCCCACACACTAATGTCTTACATATTCCCTCTTAGAATAGCTTATTCTCAAAGTCTGCAGGTCCAAGGTTTCACCTCACCGACATCTGGGTCATCAGTATGTATGTGGCCATGGCTCATGACCTTCAGTTACACGGCCTCTTTACAAGCATAGACATGGAAGAAAAGCAACACTAAAAATGAGAAGTTTCCTACAGCCAGTTAAAAAAGTTTACAGACACGTTTCAATATAAACCCAAGAGAGAATAGAGATTAAAATCAGTGATTGTCCTAGTTTGTCTGTTGGGAGGGATCAATACTGTGAACAGCACCCTCCACTCATGGTGTTCATTAACTTTCCATCACAATTGAAATAACGTCATTCTCTATGTAGTTCTATGTACAGGGTTTCTAGTAGCAATACCTTCCAGATCAGGCACGTTGTGCTTGTTAGCCAAGAACCAGTCACCTCCTCCAGCCAGGTTAGCCGCCAGGAAATGTCCTCCCCAAGGCTCATTACTGCCAGCTCTAGATGTTTATTGATGCAGTTGAGGTTTAGGATACTGCACATCCATGTCACCATGTGCTGACATATAAGCACGTTCCAATGTTGTTGCAAATGTCTTATACAATTACTGTCCTCCTCCATCTCCAAATGCTTCTACCCCACTTCCAATCCTCCCCCATTTTGCTGGTATCCTTCAAGGTTCTGTACTAAGCCTGTACTCTTTTCCTTCTACACCTACCTGTGGGTGCTCGGCTCTGCTCTTATTGGGATGATTCCCCTCTCTGCTCATCTCCACATCTGTCTGAACTCTCAGCCTGGATGAACTACCACCAACTCAGACGCCAGTGGAAACTAGAATATTCCCCACACCCAAACCCTCCCTTCTTCACAACTCTATACTCTCGATACATGGTCTTGACATCAGAGCTGTGAGCATGTACTGAGTCTTAGTCACAAGGGAACAGTTTTCAAGATGCATTTGCTTGTGTACATATCTGGGTAGAACTGAACCCAAAGATTATCAGAGGGGCTCCACTCTCATAGGGTCCCTTGCAGAGATGGCAAAGCTCACATCTTAACATAGCACATGGTGACCAAAGGATATTTAGATTAGATTAAGATTTCATTTCCTCCTTCTTGACCTTCCCACTTTTAATGGAGTGGCCTGCCCCTAAAGGCTGCAGGCCTGGAGCAGGCAAGTATCATACCATTAGCCCTGACTGCCACACCGACGATGGGGTGTGGGGTTTAGTTAGTAGAACCAGCTGGGTTAAGAGCAGGTGAGACAAACACCTGTCAGGGATGGTCTAGATAATACTTAGTTCTGCCATGAGTGCACGGGACTGGACTAGATGATCTCTTGAGCTCTCTTCCAGTCTTACCATTCTATAATTCTCCTATAAAGAGCAGCAGGAAGCTGCCAGCAAGGGGGGATGCTCAGGGAGAGAGAGACGGCAGAGTCTTTGGACATAAGATGCTTCAGCAGAGGCCTGAGACAGCAGGGAGTGGCTGCAGGGAGTAAGTAGACTGCAGCAGGAAACCCTGAGTTTTTGAGTAAAAGGCTAGAGGCGGGGAAGGCCTGGGAGACCCCAAGTAGGGAGACAAGGAGTCAAGATTTGATGGGGATTTGAGAAATTTTATTTTGAATATTCTGTTAATAAATCCTGCCCCAGGGAGATGCGTTTCTGGACTTGAGAAGAGTTTTAGCAATTTGACTGAGAGAGCCTTAAAAAAATGGGGAAACCGAGGCAGGCCACCTGTAGAGCACCAACAGCCCACAAGGGGGCATGCAGGTGAAGGCCTGCCCATTGACACAACTAATGACACACACATTAGTTATAAATTACGACCCAATAGTAATGCACAGAATCAGAGCACTGGCTCAAAGGCACCAGCCAGATTTTCCTTCATCAGTGACCCATAAAAGCAACAACAGATACATACCAGGTTAACAATCTGTGTACATGGGTCACCATTCTTCTTCCTAGCTTTGCAGGTTCCCAAGTCCAGAGCTTCACCCAAAAGTAATATCTTTTGGGGGTGATCAACAGACAAACACATCTAAAAAGAAACAGCACAAAGAGTAAACCCAAGGCTCAATAAACAGACTTCTGGAGAGGGGCTGGATGGGTCACAGGATGGTAATGAAACAGAGCCCTTGATCTCCAGGTCATTGGTTCAGTTCCTGTCTAGGTTGGTAGTGACCAAATGTAATTTACCACAGGACAGCAAATTGATGGATTATGAGCCAGTAGATGGTCTCAGTCCAAATTTCTAGTGAACATGTGTTCGCAGGACAAAAGCCACCATCAAGTGGCCCGGCTGCTGGAAGTCTCCACAGAGAAGCCAAAGACTGAACAGGCATGGAGACCAAATACCTGCTCAGCCCTGAACACGGTCATCCTTGGAACAGAGCTTAGCTATATTGGTATGACTAGGCTGCATTGCTATGGACCATGCTGTATGCATTCTGTGGATAGACAGACGGCTTCATATGTCATTACTGGAAGTTAGCACCTTTTACAGTTCACTTTAATTGAAAGATTTATACCAGGCTAGCCCACTGTACACAAGGGCTCAGGCTAGCTCACTGTCCACCGCAGTTCAAGGCACCGCCTGTACCAGAAGGGGTGTTGGCCTTCCTCAGAAGCGGATTGGCAGTCATTGTGACAAGGGGTCAAATACTGCTATATGCCCATAAATCAGGTCCAGGGAGAATTACTGAAAAACAGTGGCTCTAACGGAAAAGAGGAGGTAAAAACTCCTAGCCTTCTGGAAAAGGAAAGAAAAGAAAGGGGAAAAACAAGAGAGCAGATCGAGGGACGTGATCGTTCCCCTCTATTCGACATTGGTGAGGCCTCATCTGGAGTACTGTGTCCAGTTTTGGGCCCCACACTACAAGAAGGATGTAGATAAATTGGAGAGAGTCCAGCGAAGGGCAACAAAAATGATTAGGGGTCTAGAACACATGACTTATGAGGAGAGGCTGAGGGAGCTGGGATTGTTTAGTCTGCAGAAGAGAAGAATGAGGGGGGATTTGATAGCTGCTTTCAACTACCTGAAAGGGGGTTCCAAAGAGGATGGCTCTAGACTATTCTCAATGGTAGCAGATGACAGAACGAGGAGTAATGGTCTCAAGTTGCAGTGGGGGAGGTTTAGATTGGATATCAGGAAAAACTTTTTCACTATGAGGGTGGTGAAACACTGGAATGCGTTACCTAGGGAGGTGGTAGAATCTCCTTCCTTAGAGGTTTTTAAGGTCAGGCTTGACAAAGCCCTGGCTGGGATGATTTAACTGGGAATTGGTCCTGCTTCGAGCAGGGGGTTGGACTAGATGACCTTCTGGGGTCCCTTCCAACCCTGATATTCTATGATTCTAAGAGACCCTCTCGACATATAATCTGTTTATTGTCAAGTGAGGAAAAGGAAATCCCAGCTTTCTATGCTCAGGGTTCCAGGGAAACAAGACAAGGAGCTGTGGTAGGGCTGGAGGTATTTTATAGAATGCATTGCAGGGTGGGATATGAATTTCCAAGCACTTTTCCTTCTGAGGGCACTCTGAATTACAACATCAGTTGGGCAAAGTGTTTTGAAACATTTCCCAGTGACAGCCCAATAAAATTATGAGTCCAAGAGAATAAAAACACTCTTACCTCATCCGAGCCCTCTTTAGGTTTCATGGGATTAGCATTGAGCAGCCCAATGACCATGCCTTGGTCTGTCTTCCAGTGTTCTTTGTGGACATCACCGAACAAAAACAACGAGACACAGCTGTTCAGATCACGCAGGTCGTTCAGCCGCCAGATACTGAAAGTTTTGCCCTGGAACAGACATTGGTTTTCCCTTTAAGATCTTAATAAGAAAACCACTGATATTGCCCAGGCTTACAGCAATCTGCACGGAAACTTGTTACTATTTTGCCTTTGTTCTCTATATTTAGTATAGGCTAGGGAATACTATGACAACATTATTTACTTACAAAGGTAATTGTTAAACATGTAATTGTGACCGCTGTTCTTGCTCCTGTTACCAATACTTAATAGCTATAGAGCACTTCACACAGACTCTTATTAATCCATAATATCCCGTACAGTATGAGTTGACCCCATTTTACAGATGATGAAATTGAGGAAGAGTTTTGCCTAAGACTACCTAGCTGGATCTAGAACACAGACCTTGTGTTCAGCTCCGTGTCGTCTGCTGACAAAATACTAGCTTGTAGAATGATCACAAGTGAACTGGTAGAAGCCCCATGATTTGGCATTTTTAGAACAAGATTGAACAAAGCCCTAGTAAGTCTATGATAAGTAGGCTTGGAAGGATTGAATTTTAATTGGTAAATGTCAACAAACATCTATTTCACCTTACACACAAACCAACAAAAAATATTTCCAATAATGATAACCAAAATTTACAAATACGCAAAGAAAGAAAAATTCTGCTTGGGAACTTATTAGAGTTTGATTTTCAGCTACGTACTTTGTATATATTTGTATATTTTGACATGGGATGTTGACAATTTGTTTTTTTAACACTTATAACCCTTTAACTTTTTGAATCTCAACATCTATTGTCATTAGTTATTGTTTGTCCCCTCCATAATTTCCTGCAACTGTGAAAATTTAAATGGATAAATATAGGAAAAAAAATGCTTAAAAATAAATATTGATATCTCTCAAAATTATAAATAATAACAATTGAATTCTGCCAAGCCTTCATTGGAAGGGAAAACGACTGAGTGACCTAACAGATCTTTTCTATCTTGTGATTTCATGAGCTAGACATCAGCTCACCTTTTGGGACTGCTTTTATTTTTTTTGGTGCTATTTAATATTGTGATCTATTTAATATTCTGCTTTCATAGAGGTAGCTGCTCTTCTGGGGGCCAAAACTAGTGAATTTAGCAATTCATAACAATATAAGTCATAATAAAGATGAAATAATCCTACAGAATGCATGTACCACAACAGAATGAGCAGATTTATACATCATTCTGTAGGTGACAATCTTATGCCATGCATCCAGGTTCTCATATGAGAGCTGACACTAGCAGCATTGAATTAACCTAGACTACCGAGAATATTCAAATGTAATATAGTAGCTTGTTTTAATTAAAACAAGAATGTGGAGTTGGCTGACAAAATGTGCAAAATCTAATTAGCCTGTCAGTGAAAATACCCTCATTTAATTGAGAATAGAACAAAACTGCTTACGTTATTTGAGCTCTGAGGGGTGATTTTCTTTATTATGACTCCAAATGTTACCCAGTCTGTTTCCTCCAGATTCCCCCCAGCCAGCTTGCCTTGCAGTTGAGACAGTCTGATCAGCTTCCGTCCAGCCATTTTCCTGTCTATTTCCACTGATGACACACGGGGTTTTCTACATGAAGAAACAGAGCATATAGAGACCACTAACATTAGCACCAATACATGGAGATGACCAATAGCTTTTACATTCATGAAATTACAGCAAGAGACCTATTAGACTGTCTAGCCCATCCCCAACCACCATCATTGCAGGACTGTTCTTGGGAGTACAGTATGTAGTGCTCTGTTCTTAAAGAGCCCAGCATCCCCCCGGTAGATCACTCCACAGTCTAATAGGAGTCAATGAAAAGTATGTTCTGCACCTGATTTCATCCCATTCCTCCTAGCTGTACAATCTTAGAAAGCCTGAAACAATTCCTGTCAGTTACTGGTGTTAAACATACAAATATTTGAAGGCTGCTGATGTAATTAGTTGTGTCCAAGTACCAACACAACAAGTTAAACTTGTATCTGTGGTTAATTCTATTCATTTCAGCAAGGACTGAACAATATTGCTGCCCAAGCATGAGTGCGGGTTTGAAATTCACCGCTCTTTCCAATGAGGAAAGCCATTTCAAGTAACAAGAGACCTTTTGTGGTCACAACAAGCACTGGGAATATGGGTCAACTCCTGAGGGCCCCCTCCTGCTCACATTGAAGTCCATAGCAAGACACCCATTCATTTTGATTGAAGCAGGAGCAGGCTCCATCATGTCTCCCTTGCCTCCACACCATCTCTGAACATATTGTGACAGAAGCAGTTCTAAGCACACTGTCTAATAAAATTACTACATTGTTAGAAATGGACTCTAGGTGAAAACAGCATGGTTAGCATCTGTAGAAGAGGACAAAAAATGGTAAATAAGCCAGCAGAGATGTTGCTGTCTAATTACTGAACTACCTACCAGTGCTGCTGCTAGATTATTAACATTCCACCCTGATCAGAGAATATTCATTCTGGGATGGGAAAGCTATTTATAAAATACTGCCAACCAGAAATTTCACCCTGGTCTGACAGCCCGAGATCCCCATTCACAATACATTTGACAAAGGAAGAACCTTTGGGACAGTCCATTAGAAGGATCACATCTCTCCTGTTATTTAAAAATGTTCCCTTGACATCCAGAACAGCTTTGGGTCACTGACCTTAATCTGAGTCCAGAGAAGGTTTCCACAGAGACTGGCTGATCAGTCACACTGGAACTCCCTTGCACTTGAGGAGTCCGGTCTCTGGTGGCCATTTTGGGCCTGTTCCCAGGAGTAGATCTGAGTGGTTGAAATGATGAACTTGATATTGGCCTTGGAGGAGGACTCTTATTCTCTGTAAATAAGAAGGAAAATCTGCATAACGAATGAAAAACAATATTCTCAGTTATAAAATTCAGCAATTTAAAAACTTAACAAGAGACACCAACCTAGACCATATTACCCACAGTAGCGATGGAGAAAAACTTATTCTGCTAGTCAGCTGTGCCTCCTAAGTACAGGATTGTTCCCTGTAGTGGAATCTCAAGGACTAACTCCTGCTCACTTGTAAATGACTCAAGTGACGCAGTTTCCTTTAAGAGACGAAGCCAGTGCCTCAGATCTACAGTGTAACTTTCATATTCTCAGACGAGAGCTAATATTTACCAGACAGCAGCATAGCGCTAAGGCAGCTTAACTGCACCAGAACCTAGTTACTAAGACCTATACCTGATGGTGAATGTTTTGGTTTCTGGGCTCCCTGTTTGGTTATTGATAAAGGGCCGTTGAGCTGAGCAGAGAAACATGGTGACTCCTGGAGTTTCGGAGTTTTCCTTTCTTTGAAGGGAATACAGGGCGATTTACCTGGTCAACAAAAACAAAGAATATTAATGAGACCTCATAGGCTGGACACAAACTCTAATAATTGCTCCAACTAAACACATCCTTGTATAAATTAAATACAGGACTCAACGTGGAAACCTTTCCATATAGCTGCCAGCTCCTGAAGCCTGCATTTGAAATGTAACAGCTGGGTAGAAACCAGCCATTCATCCTCCAGTGATTCAAGACAGCAGGTACAAATGAACCATTAGGCTGTATTAAGCTGGAGCACTGGCAACACACACTTTGCTAACCCTAAATATGACCCTCTTCCCTTTTATCCCTACCACATTCACCACACAGGTGTATCACTCACAGTAACACCACAAAGCAATGTGATCTGTATATTGTGTGAAATGTACCACCTACCAACAATGGGCTCCAATGTAGCGGCTTCCATCAGAAGACCTCAAAGAGCTTTATGCACGTGAGTCAGTACAACACCCTCCAGAGCATCATCCCCATTTTACAGATGGGGAAACTGAGGGTCAGTGATTTAGTGACTTGCCCAAGGTGACACAAGAAATTTGTAGCAGCAAAGAACAGAACCCAGGCCTGTGTTCTCTCAACCAGGCTGCCCCCTTCTACTAGTTGACAGCTTTTGCCTAGTTGCCTAGACACCTAGTTTTCTGCAAGACTTGACTATAAATACAAGTTTGGATGTGGAGACATGAGAAATGTGTTTAATTAACCTAGTTACCAAGGGTTTTTTTCTGAGGGCCTGAGCTGGATGGCTGCCCAATTGCAGTCATTTGTAACTGCTCCTGTAACTTCTTCATCTGCTCTTGCAATTTCCTCAGCTCATCTAGGAGAGAAAAGAAATAATGAAGCTAGCAGGAAACCAGCATGGATTAAGATTTACAAGATTACTGGAAGCTTAGTGGCTTTACTAAATCATGGGAATTTAGAAGTGATTCTAAGGGGAGAGAGAAAAAGGACTGACACCATGATAAAAAGAAAGCTCAAGTTCTGTAAGGCTCACAGGGAGCACAGACTTTCCCAGCAGCCCCACTGGAGCTGAATTTTTCTTTAACAAAGGTATTTCTTCATACAATCAACACTACTTAGGTGATGCTATGCCATGTGCATTAATATTTCCTCTCAATACAAGCAATGAAGTGAGAGTACTCAGTACCAGCTTCAAAAGTACCAGGACTGGACCGTACAGCTGCGATTGGCAACAGGTGTGTGTCTCCATGGCTCAACTTAGCATAGTAACAATAGCATTGATACTACCCCTATAAGTTACTCTGATGCTCATTTTTATATTAAGACTTTAACCAATGCAATCAGATTCAGCCCCAAAGATCAATAAACACACAAGAAGCAGTTCTGATGAACTGCCTGTTGTTGAAGTTTAAGTGTGTGATTATTTTTTTTGTACTGGTGAAAGGTGCCAGAGTGACAGCCCTAGAGGGTGAAGAACTCTTTGTCCATAGAACGGGCTCATTCAGTCCTTGGTCTCTCTATTGACAAAGGTGGCATTTGGGATGGTAAATTTTGCCATGTGGACATTTAAAACTGGACTAACCCCAATATACTTACTTAACCCAGGCCACTCAAGAGTCTTCATGAGCGCTTTCAACCACTTCCCAACAGGGTTGGAGTTGAACTGGAGACTTGAGAGGAAGAGCTCTATATCCCTAACCAATCCCGTGAGCCCTCTGGTACACCCCAATCAGCTCTCTAGTGATCCCCGCAGCTTGTAAAGAGACTATATATATTTGAAGGTCATGAGCTTGAAGGGCATGACAAATCAGACAAAAATTGCTGTTTAGCAAACCTTGCAAATCTTGATTGTTTTTCTCCTTCTCCTGATTGAGAGCTGGAGAACAGGGTATTTCCTGTACAGTTTCTTCCTCTTCTTCTGTCAGGTCATCCACATCTCCAAACAACGCAGATGCATTTTCCTTCTGCTCACTGGCTTCACTCTCCTCAGCATCAACCTCCTCGGTGTAGGATGCATCATCCTCTGCGTCAAACAGCTCATCATACTCATCTGGTTCTCCAGCCTCATCTGAGTGAGCTGTGGTCTCTTCAGGAGTATTCTCATCCCCAGCTACCTCATTCTCTTCTAACAGGGAAGCCAACAGCTCCAAGTCTTCATCACCTGCAACAAACCAATCAAACCAAGAGTCACCACAGCCCAATTAAAGGAAAACTGCAATGTAATATGTGCCCAAGATATTGCAATCACATCTAATTACAAAGAAAAGTCGATCGCTAATTAGATGTAATCAGAGCACTGGTTTTTTTATAAAACCATAAGTTAGCCCCAAACAAATCTGCTGTTGGAAAAAGGAAGACAACAATGGAATACAGAATAGCTTCCAATCTCTTCGTCTAATGTAAAACAATGTGTCTGAGACACTATTTCTTTAAAATTCGCTATGTATAAAAAAAATTACATGGGAAACAACAAAGCAAGGAGCGGAAATTGTCAGCTATGTTGATCAAGAAAGGTACATTGGAGCTGCAGGCAGAAACACAGTGAATGACAGGAGATTTCTACAGCTTGTTAGGTATGCTCTATATTATTTTAGTTCTAGATTAATTTTTGGTTTATTGCCCAGGCTTCCAAACTGTGGTCCATCAATGGCCCGCAGAAAGCTGGCAGGCCCCAATTTGCTAGCATTTCCTTGTTGGCAGCCTCATTACAAAGAAGAGCCTGGAGGTCTGAAAAAGTAGAAACAGGAGCTGTCCAAAAGGATCAGAGCCACTAGTGGGGGTGGAACTGCCAGTCATCAGCAGGAAATATCAATGGGATCAAAGAAGAAGGGGAGCATATCCAGGAGAGCATGGGGACCAAGCAGCTGGGCAGCATGTCTGGGGAAGAAGGGGATCAAGCACCAAGGAAATATGTGCAGGGCCAGAAGGGACCAGGCAGTAAAGAAACATGAGTAGAGAGAGAGGAACGAAACAGACTGAGGGGAGATGAAATTCAAAGGAAAGAACAATCGCGTGATTTAGCCTTTGATGCTGAAGATTGTTGGATCATATTAAAGAAGTTCTGTGTTAAAATCACAAATGAGTTTGATTCCCCATAGTTTAAATTCCAGGGTATTACTAATTAAGAGGTCTCTTGGTTTTTGGTACTGTTTCTCTGCCTCTATGTGTGAAACTTGCAAGCTGCTAATTGTGTTAGTACGTTCTAAGACAGTCTGTTCTCAAAGCAATTCTTTGTAACAACAACTACTCACACAGAGAGAGACTCAAAGCAATACTCTGTAACAGAAACAGCACCCAGAGACTACCCACCCTTTTGTTGTATTCATCTCGCTTTGTTAACAATTGTGATTAAAATAGAGATAGAGGATGTATGTGAATGGATGCTTGGTGTGGATAATAACTGAATGATCAGGGAGGTGCCAGCCTAAGAATCCAGCGTCCATTGGCTGAAGATGGCGTCAAGTGGAAATAACCAGAGGACCCCCGGAGGGCAGACTGGAATCCACCCAACAGCCTCAAGAATGGGAGAACCAAAGAACAAGATAACACCCGGCAGCACGGAGTCATCAGGAATGTGCTATCTGCTGATTGATTCAGCAACAGCATGATGAAGCAATTCCCATAGACTGGCATAGGAAGAAATTCCTATAAAAATGGACTCTAGAAAGTGAGAACTTTGGGGTCTGATTCTGCAAACCAACTTCCAGGAGCATCAGATGAGCATCTGACAAGGCCCTGCTCCCTCCTCATGTCCAGGCCACCTGGTAAGTGGCTTGGCATGAGCAACTCCAAGGCTGGTAACTATGATAACAACCTTGCAGAACCTCTGTGTGTGTGTGTGTGTGTGATGAATGAATGTGTGAATAAATATGAGATTGAATGGAATGTTATAGCTATAACTAACTGCTTACTATGATTCTTTCTGTATTCACAATAAATGTGGCATTTTGCCTTTTCCCCTTTAGTAAGATCCTGCTGGTTTTTATTTTATTGATATAACAAGATGTGCCAAAGCAGCCCAATTGAAGGAGGCATTTTGTATAGATTGGTAGGGGATTTCGGATACTTCTACACTACAGACCTTATAGCGGCACAGCTGTACTGTTGGAGCTGTGCCACTATAAGGTCTCCTGTGTAGCTGCTCTATGCTGGCGGGAGAGAGCTCTCCGGCCGGCATAATTAAACCACCCCCGACGAGCGGCAGTTGCTATGTTGGCGGGAGAGTGTCTCCCGCCAACATAGTGCTGTCCACACTGGCACTTTTGTTGGTGAAACTTTTGTCATTCAGGGGTGTGTTTTTTCTACACCCGACCGACAAAAGTTTTAACAATAAAAGTGCTAGGGTAGACATAGCCTTAGTCTCTGGACCTCAAAGGCATCTGCTAATAAACAATTACTGTGATTTAATTTTACACTAGTTAAATGCAGTTTACAACCATGAACTCATTAACTCTGAACTCATTAAGTACACTCATTTATTGGCCCTAGATGTAAAAGGAAAGCGGGGCGAAGGAAAACTGCATTTCTCACCATCCATGATTTCAACAGGACTTCTTCAGCAGAGTCCCCAAAGGAAGAATCTCAGCTGTTAGGGAGAGAAAAGCAGCAATCTTGTTAACTTGCATGACAAATAAAACAAGGATTCAATGCATAAACTGGGGACACAAATCCAAAGATTTCTTAATGTGTTTAACTATTTAGAACTGCAATGGTTGCTGTCTTGGCCACTTCCTTATTTCACCAACCCCCTATGCACAGATGATAATAATCCTCTCAAAGCTTCCAACTGAAATAGTTTACACTTCTATACCACTACATAGCAAATTAATGGCAGAGCAGGGATGAGACTCCAGTCCCATGATTTAACCATTAGACAACACAGGCTCCCTCAACATGGTGAGCTTATCTCCTCTACTTTGCATGTACATATGATTTCTTAGTCCATAAGCTATCATTGGTTTCTTATTGTAGGGACACTGAATTACAGGCTCACATTTATACCAAAGTAACTCAGAAGTAACTTACAAACCATGCCCACCTCCCTTTAGCAAGTGTTTCTTCCCCAGTTCCTCTATTTACTATGCTTACTTTTTGTGTCTCATCTTATGTGAACTCTAATTTTTGGGTTAAGATCTCTATAATGTTGCATTTCATTTTTCTGCATTTAGATTCTGATCCTGCAGTGAACTACATGCAGGCCCAAGGTCAACAACTGAAGTCAATTGGGCTCCAGTGCTGAGCTCTTTGCAGCATCAGAACATTAGGTTCCTTATTTAAAAAACAAACCACCCAAACACGTTAATAGATTCATAGATTTTTAAAGCCTGAAGGGACCAATGGCTCTCCTATTTGGACCTCCTGTATAACACAACCCATAGAGTTTCATCCACTTACTCCTGTATTGAACCAAATAACTTGTGTTTTATTATAGAGTATCTTCCAGAAAGGCATCCAGTGTTGATTTGAAAGCTTCAAGAGATGGAGAATCCACCACTTCCTTTGATAGTTTGTTCTAATGGTTAATCACTCTCACTCTTATAAATCTGTGTTTTATTTCTAGGTTTCTTGTGCTTCTTTCAACACACAGTCATTAAAATAGATGGACCCGTTTTTATTTCAGTATATGATGATCCAAACATATGGACACTTCCCTAGAAATCTGGAGCACCAAACTTTGATATTATTAATTAGACAGGAAACAAGTGGTGGTGCGTGGGAAGAACTCAGTTTCTCCTATTGCTTATTATAGGTTACTGGACAAGCAGATTTCTTCAAAGACATTGAACATTGCTTTAGAGATCATCAAACAATAATCTGGAAAGTTTATTTAATGGGAAAAACATCATTTGGTCAGCACTGAAGAGTCAAGTGGATAAACGAAATTGGGTGCAGCACCCAAAAGTGTGCCAGGAGCATTACTGAGAAAAACAGATATGGCCCCATACCCCAAAGAGTTTAACTCCTGAAGTCAGAAAATAAGATACAAGGGACAGCAAAAATAGAGTGGGTGATGGCAGAACAAGAACTACTAATATCAAGTAGCACAGTTTCTTATACACACACAGAGATCTATGGTTATGTAGCGCTTCAGTGTAGACACTACCTATGTTCGCCGGTGTAGGTACTCCATCCACCTCCCTGAGAGGGGTCAACGGAACAATTCTTCTGTTGACCTAGTGTTGTCTACACCAGGGGTTAGGTTGGTATATGTACATCTCTCAGGGGGGTGGAATTTTCACACCCCTGAAAGACATAGCTAAACCCATGTAAGCTCCTAGTGTAAACCACCCCTAAGAAATGTTTGCTGTAAACTCTAAAGCTGCTTGAGAAGTTTCAGCCAAAGTGATAATGTTTAAGGCTGCAAGTTTGTCAAGGAAGTCACGGATTCCGTGACTTTCCATGACTTCTGCAGCGGCCGGTGCACCTTGCTCAGGGGCAGCTCAGGCAGCCCCTGCCTACACCAGATGCACTGGCCCCTGCTGGGGCAGTCTCGGGTCACCGTGCTGCACCCCATCCCCGTGTGGCAGGGAGCAGGGGGTTGGGGCACTGGACAGGGTGAGGCAGGCTCTGGGCGGTGCTTACCTAGGGGGCTCTTCGGAAGTGGCGACATCCCCCCCGCTCAGCTCTGCGGGCTGCCCCCACCCAGAGCACTGGCTTCACAGCTCCCATTGGCCAGGAACCACCGCCAACGGGAGCTGCGGGGGAGGTGTCTGCAGGCAAAGGCAGCCCGCAGAGCTGCCTGGCCACGCCTCTGCCTAGCAGCTGAGCGAGGGGGATGTCACCACTTCTGGGAAGCCCACCAGGTGAGCACCGCCCAGAGCCCGCCTCACCCCATCTGGTGCCTCAACCTCCTGCCCCCTCCCACATCCAAACAATGCTGAGGTCCATCCTGGCACACAGCCACACGCAGCAAGGCAAAGGGAGCTGGAGCCATAACATTTTAATCATCACCCCATGGAAAAGGGAGTACATCAGGAGATCGGGTGCAGCGTGGGGCTCCCCGGTTACCCTGCAGGGTGTGTGGGGAGCAGTCAGGGAGGAGCTGGTTTCATTTCTGACCCACTCCCCATCTCTTTGAATCACCTGCGAGATGCTTCACAGCCGTGACCGGCCTCATGAGCATCCAGACAGAGACACCTCCCAGAACTATCCATGACTCTTCCCCCCTTCCCTTCCCTTCCCTTCCCTTCCCTGGGCGCCGCCAGAGCCATCCCCGACTCCACATCCCCCAGCACCGAACCTGCCCCCCACGGGACTCCCCCTCCCGCCCCCAGGGATCCCCAGCCCCCTTCTCCCACCCAGGCAATCCACAGCCCGGATCTCCTCTCCTCCTGGAGTCCCCTCCGACCCGATCCTTGCCCCCGCGGGACTCCTCCCTCAGCGACCCTCCTGAGATGAGAAGGGGATCCCTCCCCCCCTGAGACCCCCGATCCTTCCCCGCCTGGGACCCCTGCCCCCGAATCCCCCTCCCCGAGCACAGACCCCGTGTCCCCCTCTCGCCCCTCGGAGACCCCTGCCCAGGAATCCACAACCCCGATCGCCGGGACTCCCGCAGATCCCCGACCCTCTTCCTCCTCCTCCTCTAACGGCCCCCGATCTCCTGCTCCGGGCAGGCCCCGCACTTACCGCGCGCAGCTCCGCTCCCCTCAGCCGGGTCACCCGCCAAAATTCTAACTAGGCCCCGCCCCCTCGCCTCTCGGGTCACACGCAGGCGCAACTGCCTCCCCGGCCAGGGGACAGACGCTGGAGTGCTGCGCATGCGTACAGCATCTCTGGCCCGCAAAACGGCGAGCCGTGGGAACTGCGCCATCTTTATTAAGGGCGGCGCAGTCCTGTGTCTGGTAGAGTAGTGTTGTGAAGCCAATGGTGCCATCTTGCTTAGGGGCAGGCATGCATCATGTTCGAGGGCTACCTCTTTGGGACTAATGTTTGTTAAATGCCTGCCTTGAGCTCCTCGTTCTTCCGCCTGCAAGCCTTGGCGCAACCTCGCTGGGCAAAAACCACTAAAGCACTGGCCGCTGACCAAGCACCATAATGATGATGTCATGGGAAACTGCCTGCTGATGTCACAGAAAGCAGGGTGATGACATCAGACCAATAGGTCACCCTACAGACTGCTGCACGTCACCAAGTGCAGCGGTGGTGCTACACGAAAGGGCTGCCATATTGCCACACTCTTACCCCACTACAATGGGACATCCCGCATGTATGTCAAACCCATTCCCAGTGGAATGCCTCAGCATCCCAAGACATCACCGTGCCCCAAGGGGCAGCTGCATGGCCCTCTAGCACACCAACCTCTGTGCCCCAAGAGAAAACTGCTGGACACCCCCGTATGATGCCCCCTGCTCCTGGGGAGCTGGCTGGCACCTGGCCTAAACCACTCCTGCATCCACACAGGCCACCATTCCCCAACTCCGTACAATTTTTGGAACCCAGACCAGCCCAGCTGCCAGCCAGCCAGGAGCAGTTTGCTCTGCTTCAGATTGTAATTCCAAGGGAGAGAATTACAGTCTGCCTATTTAAAGTAGCACCTAGGGATTATTGTAATTGAAAAGAAATCTCATTTATAATTTGCTTGCATTGTGAATTTGCCAAAAAAAAAAAAAAATGTGTGCAGTCTGTTTCAACATTTCCCACGTATAGTCAGATATGATCCTGCAAACACACATATGAATAGTGCCACTGAATGTGTGTAAGCCTTTGAAGAGGACAGAAATAATCAATCATTAGCTGCAAAGGAAAAGTGTCATACTATGGCTATTTCTACCAAGATGCTCACCAATGACTTTGTCTGCCCAATCTGCTCACGAGCATGCGTGTCACGCTTTGGACTTCAGAGTCACTCCAGAATCCACAAAAAGAGATAGCATGAAAACGTCATCGTTGAACCAACGGATTACACACACACACACAAAACAGAATTGTCAGACACATAGATGAACATAATTTGTTGGGGAAGAGTCCACATGGTTTTTGTAAAGGGAAATCATGCCTCACCAATCTACTAGAATTCTTTGAGGGGGTCAGTATGCATGTGGACAAGCAGGACCCAGTGGATATAGTGTACTTAGATATTTAGAAAGCCTTTGACAAGGACCCTCACCAAAAGTTCTTAAGCATAGTAAGCTGTCATGGGATAAGAGGGAAGGTCCTCTCATGGATCAGTAATTGGTTAAAATATAGAAAACAAAGGGTTGGAAAAAAATATGAGTTTTCAGAATGGAGAGAGGTAAATAGACCCAGGGCTCTGTACTGAGACCAGTACTATTCAATATATTCATAAATGATCTGGAAAAGGGGGTAAACAGTGAAGTGGCAAAATTTGCAGATGATACAAAACTACTCAGGATAGTTAAGTCCAAAGCAGATTGCAAATTGCTACAAAGGGATCTCACAGAACTGGATGACTGGGCAACAAAACGGCAGATTAAATTCAGTGTTGATGAATGCAAAGTAATGCACATACCAATACATAATCCCAACTATACATACAAAATGATGGGGTCTAAATTAGCTGTTGCCACTCAAGAAAGAGATCTTGGAGTCATTGTGGATAGTTCTCTGAAAACATCCACTCAATGTGCAGTGGCAGTCAAAAAAGCAAACATAATGTTGGAAATCATTAAGAAAGGTATAGATAAGAAGACAGAAAATATCATATTGCCTCTATATAAATCCACACCCACATCTTGAATACTGCATGCAGATGTGGTAACCCCATCTCAAAAAAGATATATTGGAACTGAAAAAGGTTCAGAAAAGGGCAACAAAAATGATTAAACATATTGTAACTCTTCTGCCCGTCAGAGTTGGCAGCAACAAGGGCTGGGTTCAGTATCTAGGGGTTCCGTTTCAATAACACAATGCAAAACCGGCTCAAGCCCCAACCCAGTGACCTGGGACAATTACATACCACCCCCCTGGGCATCTTTAAGAGGCAATACTTCCCCGCTCGCAAGCACAGAGTCTGAGTGTAGCAAAAGCCTTTTAATAAAGGATGGAAACAATGTGGCATTATGTTGGAGAAATACCACAAACAGGATTCATAACACCAACCATGAGCAAAAGACCCACCCCGAAGTAAGTTTGTCAGTGTCCTTTTCCCCTCAGGGTCTTAAGTCCAGCAACCCAATAGTCACCCCCCCCCCCCAGTTTCTGTCCTAGGTCAGTGCAGCCCCCCAGAGTCCAGAAGTTCATCTGCAGAATTTACCTCCCAGCCTGGGTGGAAGTGGAGGGAGGTATGTGGGGTCATCTTACATGCTCCACTGCTGGGTCGATGGCCAAGTGCCACGCCTCTCCATGGGGTCCTGCTGTCTGCACACCAACTTGTCTTCAGGCCCCCCCCACTCCCAACTTAACACAGCTCTCAGTGATCTCAACTCTTAGTAACTTCAGCTCTTTAGTGATTTCAGCTCTCAGTGACTCTTAACTGGTAGTAGGGGAGCCTCAGTGCTAGTCCAAAATAGGTCTAATGCTTAGACCAAGGTAACAGTGATTTCAGCTCTGCAGCATGTAACAAGACTCCTAATGGAGCCAAAATTAGCTCTGTTATTACACAGTGGAGGGGTCAAAATAGTGTTTAAAGCCCTCAGAATAAGAATAGGCCCACACTACCAGGTACACATACCTGTCCCCAGCCTCTCTCCATTCACTGGGTTTTGGAACCCATGTCCCTTGCCCAGCGAGTGCTACATAGTTGAGGGCGAGTCCCTCCGTCATAAAATGCCAAGTACAGTTCTACTGTCCTTGATTCACATAACCAGGATAACAACACTTTATTACTCCTGCCCCAATAACAGAGAGACTGGGGATCCCACAGCAGCCAAAGTGACCATTTGGGCAAGCAGTCCATCATGCTAGGCAGGGTGGGTGTGCCCAGGCAAACGAGATCAGCCCCTGAAGTCCTTTTCCACATCTCACCACCAGATGTCAGGGTAGAGCCATTCTGACTCTACTTACAATATGGAACAGCTTCTGTATGAGTAGAGATTAATAAGATTGAGACTTTTATCTTGGAAAAAGAGACAACTAATGGGGGATATGATAGAGGTCTATAAAATCATGACTGGTGTGGAGAAAGTAAATAAGGAAGTATTATTTATTCCTTCTCATAACACAAGAACTAAGGATCACCAAATGAAATTAATAGCCAGCAAGTTTAAAACAAACAAAAGGAAGCATTTCTTCACACAATGCACAGTCAACCTGTGGAACTCTTTGCCAGAGGATTTTGTGAAGGCCAAGACTATAACAGGGATCAAAAAAGAACTAGATAAATTCATGGAGGATAGGTCCATCAATGGCTATTATCCAGGGTGGGCAGGGATGACATTCCTAGCCTCTGTTTGCCAGAAGCTGGGAATGGGCAACAGGGGATGGATCACTTGATGATTACATGTTCTGTTCATTCCCTTTGGAGCACCTGCATTGGCCACTGTCGGAAGACAAGATACTGGGCTGGATGGACCTTTGATCTAACCCAGTATGGCCATTCTTATGTTCTAGGGACAGGAGTCTCGAGAATGCACCCCAACATCTCCCTTTATCATGACTCTGAGTTAGCTGCTAATCCAATCACTGTGTGTAATTCAAGTGTTGCAGTGCAGTTTAGCCTGTCACTTTAGCTAAACTAGCTCAAGCAGGGAGTAACTCAAATATAGAAACTTGGGGTAACTGTTTCAGAGAAAAAAGAAAAGGAGTACTTGTGGCACCTTAGCGACTAACCAATTTATTTGAGCATAAGCTTTCATGAGCTACAGCTCACTTCATCGGATGCATACTGTGGAAAGTGTAGAAGATCTTTTTATACACACAAAGCATGAAAAAATACCTCCCCCCACCCCACTCTCCTGCTGGTAATAGCTCATCTAAAGTGATCACTCTCCTTACAATGTGTATGATAACCAAGTTGGGCCATTTCCAGCACAAATCCAGGTTTTCTCTTCTTCCCCCGCCCCCCCAAACACACACAAACCCACTCTCCTGTTGGTAAAAACCCTGGATTTGTGCTGGAAATGGCCCAACTTGATTATCATACACATTGTAAGGAGAGTGGTCACTTTAGATAAGCTATTACCAATAGGAGAGTGGGTTTGTGTGTGTTTTGGGGGGGGGGAGACGAGAGAACCTGGATTTGTGCTGGAAATGGCCCAACTTGATTATCATACGTATTGTAAGGAGAGTGATCACTTCAGATAAGCTATTACCAGCAGGAGAGTGGGGTGGGGGGAGGTATTTTTTCATGCTTTGTGTGTATAAAAAGATCTTCTATACTTTCCACAGTATGCATCCGATGAAGTGAGCTGTAGCTCACGAAAGCTTATGCTCAAATAAATTGGTTAGTCTCTAAGGTGCCACAAGTACTCCTTTTCTTTTTTGCGAATACAGACTAACACGGCTGTTACTCTGAAACCTGTCATTGTTTCAGAGAAGAGCAAAACACAGCTAACAGAGAGTGTAGCTGCAGACTCTGCTTGAAGATAACGGGACTTGGTGACTGGTGCAATTTGTCCATCTCTGAGTTGGTTGTTGAACTATTTGTTTGCAACATAGTTAAGCTGAGCTAATCGCCAATGAACACATAGCTAGGTACCTAGCAGCCTAGCCACTACCTCTTTGAAAGATAGATCAACTATCTTGATGGAAAAACCCTTTCCATCAATGTAGGAAGC